AGTTTGCAAACTTGTGGCAATTCTTTTGCTGTTCCATACAAAGTTTCAACTCTCTAAGCCAAATAGGTAGTTTATCTAAGCAAGAGTTGGAAAACCGTAGTTGCAGGCTGATGGCACCCCTGAAGATTGTAGCAAGGGCTCCATAAACCATGTTTGTACGGTGCATTCATATTAAAGTTTAAGGAAGATGCATGGTAATCCGTAAAAATTTTTGAGAGCTGATGGTCACCCATTGGCCTGAATATCTTGGAAATACTTAGGCATGGATTTTTGAATGGTTCTAGATTGCAGAGATTGTTTTCTAAGCTTTTGATACTAAAGTTGTGAATAAAGCAATCCTTGTTAGTATGTCCTAATGCTATCCAAAGATCTCTAGAAACTTGTATATTTAATTGACCAGATTTAATATATCTAACATCAGCTGTATGCTTGAAATGTTAGTGAATCTATATGTTGTTTTTTACAGGCGGATCGGCTGAAAATAGATGTAATTGACTGGCTCGTATTTGATCCTGCACAGAGGGCAGAAGCACTTAAGCAAAGCAATGCAATCATGAGGAAGTTCTTGGGTACTAAACTTCACAAACATTGTAGACTTCTTAAATGCCGTTTTTGTTCTCATTGGCTCTTGGCACTACATTTGATATAACTTTTAATCTAGTCTACTAAAAAGCATGGTTTTGTCAGTTTATAAAAATAAAATATGGAAGTTGCAAAGCTGTTGATACTCAGTTCACATTCTCATAGCATCCAAGAAACATGAAGCTGCAAAAGATGTGTTTTTGAAGATTCCCCAAGACTCTATAGCAGAAATATATAACCAATGGGAAGAACAGGGAATGGACACTCCACTTCCAGCTGAAGATGACAATGCTATAAGGGAACATTTATGCATTCGGGCGTATTTGGTGAGTTTCAAATATGCTGTATTCCAAGTTATTACTTAGAAATAATGGTGGCTTTGCCTTGGTGGTGAAACTTTAAGTTTTGTCCATTTGATTTAACTACTGATTCCTGGATGCACTGTAGCTAAGAGTTTACAAAATAGTGAGGTTCTTTTTATACTTAAAAGTAACTTTTGGCTTTTGTGCATTAAATGCACATTCTTGTAATTACATAAATGAGTAAAAAATGTCAAAACCCTCTTTCCAATGCAATCCAGGAAGCCCACGAAACCTTCAATGAATGGTTTAAACACATGAATTCAGCTCCACAGAAGCCTTCTTTGTTACCACAAGCAAGTTTCACTGAAAAAGTAGCCCATGAACATAAAGAAAAGAAGTACGAGGTAGGTAAAAGTTCAAGTTGTGATTTACTGTAAACATTTACGTTCTTGCTTAGGAGGCAGTCTTAGTTTCATGAAACAGCGTAGAAGTCTGCTAATTCATATTGCTTAAGAACTCTACTATAAAATTATTCTATATTTACGTTGAAAAGAGGGAGTATAAGATAGAATAGTAATGCCACTGCACAATAAATTCTCATGCTTTATTCTTACGTGACTCACCTTTACATGTAATATTGTATACTGTAATAGTAAATATTTATTACAGTGTGTTGATTGTCAGTGTTATTAATAAATCTACTCGATTTTGCTATTAACTCTTCCCTGGAGATGGAGGATGAAGGCTGTCTTGTGTTCCTGCATTTGTCACATTTTCTTCTCTAAAAGATGCTGCGGTTCTGTTTGTTTTGCCAAAAGTTCTTTTTGCATGTCTGGCCAGTATGAATACACTGTATTCGGTTTATACAAGTATTTGTTACAGAAGCGTGGCAGAATAAGTTGTTTAAAATTATCTTCCTCTAGTGGCTTTGACTGCTTCTGAACAACCTGTCTGACTCTCTCTGGACAGGGAATTAAGCAAAGATGGAAATAGCTGTTAGCAGCAGGCTTTTAGGTTTTGGCAGTTAGCTGAAGATTCTGGTTTGAATTACAGCTGGGCTGGCTGTTGCATGCTAGGTGAAGAGTCTGTTAAAATAGCCTTGGAAATGATCCTGTTCTGCAGTAGTTTATTTTTTGTTTCTTTGCCAGATGGACTATGGTATTTGGAAAGGCCTCTTGGATGCTCTTACAGCTGATGCAAAAGAGAAAATGTACAATGTGTTGCTGTTTGTTGATGGAGGATGGATGGTTGATGTTAGAGAGGTAAAATGAATTTTTATATCATGGCGTATACCACAAAGCCAGATTGTACCCAGTTGTACCTTTGTCATCTTTAGTTTGATGAGCTTCTGTTTACTCTGTTATAATTCACTCCGGCCTTGCTGTGACCAGTTACAGATTGCTTCCCCTTCGGTTACCACATAAATCGGATCTGGCAGTCCAGCCTAGGCTGGTTAGTCCAGTTTTTTGCCTCTGACGCTGCTAATTATGTGGTCATACAGAGTTGCCTTTTAAAGGTGAATGTTCATAATACTAATATATTATTTTGCTATGGTGAGGATGCCGAGGATGACCCTGAACGAACACACCAGATGATTTTGCTGCGAAAGCTGTGTCTGCCAATGATGTGCTTTTTACTGCATACGGTGTTACACAGTACTGGACAATATCAGGAGTGCTTACGACTGGCTGACATGGTTGCTTCTGAGCGACACAAGCTTTATACGGTGAGTTACTGAGTGCTGCAAACAGCTTAGCTTCCATTTAAAAGCTCTGTGGGTTGACTGTGGATAAAAGCTTCTATATAGAGAGGAAGATGCCATATGTTCCTTAACATCATAAGTTTCTTCATCTCTTCCCATTCACTGCGGTAGTAGAGGGTTTCCTTGTATGCTGACTTAAGGAAGCAAAGAGTTAACTTTGAAACACTGAAGATGATGCCCATGTTTTGACAAGCAGTTCTTCTGAGTAGTGCAGTTACTAATTTTTGGATGGGGGCTATTGAAATAAGTTGAACTGTAGAATTGTAATTTATTTTTTTATTTCCATTACATTTCAGAACATTGTATAAGCAGGTTTTGTTTTGGAGCACTTGGTTTACCTAACCTTCTCTCCCTCCAAAAGCCTGAAAAACAACACAAAAAAACTTTATCACTTAAAAAACCCAAACAAACAAAAAAACTAAACCACAACACCCCCCCAAAAAAAAAAAAAAAAAAAAAAAAAAAAAAAAAAAACAAAAAAAAAAACCAAAGGATTTGAAATCTGAAAAGAAACATCAGGGCTAAGAAAGATACTGTGATGCATTCGCCTGGATTGGCTTAAGGTCTCTGCCAGCAATAACAGGAAGATTAAATTTGGCTGTTTACCGATATCTTTGTAGTAGTTATGAGACAGAGCTATCTTGAGACTACCTTCAGGTTTTGGATACTGCTACTAGCTTCCAGTCCTTTACTAAATTCCATTCTGAAATGTTTGGTGTTCACGCTGTCTTAAATAGAAAGAAAGAAAAAAAAAAAAGGAAAAAAAAAAAAAAGGAAAAAAATTTAGTAACTTAATTAATGACCATTTACTTTGGTATCAGTGCTGTTCATTGCAAATAAATATAACTTCATATGTCTTTTTTTTTTATTCTTAGGTATTTTCAAAAGAAGAACTCCGAAAGCTTCTACAGAAGCTGAGGGAATCTTCTTTGATGCTTCTGGACCAGGATCTTGACCCTTTGGGATATGAAATTCAGTCATAGGATTTCATGTAGATACTTGCAAAAAACTTCTAAACATGGACATTCTGCTTATAAAAAAAAAAAAAAAACAAAAAAACAAACAAAAAAAAAAAAAACCAAAACCATGAGTCAGATAAACTGTTCTCATCTTTGGGAAAAAAACCCTGACCCTCAGATTTTAATTTCAACTTGGAAAATTCTGACCAACTTCACAGAGGATATTTGTTACACAACCTTTTTCATAATGTTGGGGTGTTTTTCTAATAAAAATGCTTCACAAAAATGTCTGTTGATTCTAATCTATAATGTCATTATATAAGTATGGTGATTGTATGAACCTCCTTAATATCTTTGCTGCATGCCAAAGAGCTGCCTGTAGACTGGAAGTACTACTCGGCAGGAGAAGAACGCGCAGGGGTACCGTGGAGAGGAAAGCGAGACTGGAGGAGGATGCAGGTGGAGGGCAGGAGACAAGAAAGCAGATGCAGGGAGCTGGAGCAAAGGAACATCAAAGGAAGAGAGCAAGTGCAGGGCTACCACCAGCCCTTCGGAGGAGAGAAGGGCTTGCTTCGGCGCTTCTACTGTTCTCGTGTACATCGTGTAGTTGCTAAAATGCCGGTGTAACGCTGAACCGGAGGAAAGGCGATCGTACCTCAAAACTCCCAAGTTTGAGATTCTGTAGTTTATTTAGAAACCTTGTTCTGGCCCTGTTGCACACCTGTAAACACGTTTAGCTGCTTTTCCCTTAACTGGAGAGGGTGGAGGACAGAGCTGCAGCGCAGCCGGGCAAGGGCTTCAGCTCCCCCGCCCAGCCGGTGTCTCCTGACGCTTCTGACACAAAGAAGGTCATCTGTGCTATACCTGTGCGTGTTGCAGAAATACCAAGTCCAGTTGTCGAGAGGTACCGGTACCTTGGCGGGAAGCTGTGTTGCGGCCCATCGCTGGGCTGCCGGAGAGCGGGGCGGGAGGTGGGGG